CACCAGTAGGCGGTAGGGCAAAGTGTCTTGCTCAACGACACAACGACCGAGACGGTCCGAGACGGGGCTCAAACTGGCAACCTTCCGATTACAAGACAAACTGCCAACTCTTGAGCCACGATCGCCCCACAACCCAAGCCATTATGTAGTAGTAAATGTATGTAGTAGATTCTAGATTTGGATTTGCCATTTGATAGGTAAGACTCAGTCCATCTGAAATAATATAATTAGAGTTTTAAAAATATTTAAACTGCAGTTTATTATGGGAAATGTTCATCCATGATTTTAATAACATAGAATGGTAGTGACTGCACATGAAAGTCACAACCAAATTTTGAAAAATACAACAGCTGATGCAAAGTTGAGGCTGCACCTCTTTGGCTGGGAGCGGTTCATCTTCACTGTGTCTCTGAGTTATGTCTCTTCAGGTAATTTAGCATTTTGACCAGAGAGTTTAAGAAAAAAGACAGGATCTGGGATTTTTAGGTGCCAGCAATAGTAGCAATCAGTTCAAGCTACTGGACGAAGCTATTTACAGCAATAGCTATGGCATATTTTGGCTTTAAAGTGCAGCAAATCTCTGCATGGTCCCCCAGCACAGATTGCAGATTGTAGGCATTTATTAACAAAGTGCAAGCAATGAAGATGGGCTCTTCATTCTTAGTTTTATTTCGATTCTTATTTTTGTTAATTTGTTTTCTATTTCCTGCTATTTCTAATGTGATCATGGTCCTTAAAATAAGTTACTTTTAAATTGCTATGAAAGGAGACAGAAGTGCATAAAGGTACATACAATAATGATACAACTGTGATCACAAACACCTTTATTTCCTGGCAAGGACCGAAATTTGATGTTGTGATAGCAAGTATATATAGAGTATACGGTATAAACTACAGCAGGACATGATGGACCACTGACACAATTTGTTTTCATCAGAAAAACAAAAGGCATAAAATCATTAACAGTTACTAAAAGATTTCCATCTAGAGCAAGCTCGATAAACCTGTAGGACATTTATGCCATTTATTTTGTGTGCCTGCGGGTTCTCTGTTATCCGCTAGGGGGTGATGCCTCCTCTTTATACTTCCACTTTCAGTGGACTGTAAGTACATGATTCCCTGAAACTCTGTCATTTCCGACTTCACTAAATGATTTTGACGACTCTCGTTACTGGAAACAAGCCAAATAAAAACGAAAAGCCTCGTTGTGATAGGTGGAGCCTTTACGGCAACAACATGAGGAGTTTCTATGAGCTTACATGTGGCCTCTTTAGAGACCGTCCCTAACTTGGTCGGTTTCAAGGCCACCCCCAGCTGCAACGTTATCTGTAAACTTTTTTTTTTTTTTAAGTTTCTCAGAAGTCAAAGAAAAGTAATAAGAGAAACCGAAATATGTTTTTTTCTGTTATGCAAAAGAAAGCAAAAAGAAAGGAGAAAACACTGTTTTGTTCACGGTTGGGCTCCGGATGAAAGTAAAAAATAAATAAATAATGAAAGGCCAAATGTAAAGAAAAATAATGTAATTGTTTAAATAACAACAACAACATAACATTTATAAATACTATAAAATATTTATGAACCTGCAACGATGCTTTTTTAAAAAATAAATTTAAAAAATAAATTAAAAAAAACAAAAAGCCTTCACATCCTGCATTGTGGCTTTAAGAACCGGGCTTCCTTGAAACCGTCAGGTCCCATTTAGCGAAGACAAATTGATGAACTTCTCCAGTATTTGCATCTTTTGTAACTTTTTAAGACCTATTTTTATTTTATTTTAACTTTTACAGGTATTTTTGTTCGGTGTTTCTGGCCGTTGACAAGGTTTCTTTTAGTTTTAAGCTGCAGCATGCGCGTCCGCAAACAGGGAGTGGCAAAATTTAAAGACTTGAATTTGCCCTAACTCCTCGCAAGTTTTAAACAGCGGTAAAGTTCCTGTGTGCGGATCCAATGGCCCACCCGTCGTCGGTAATCACGCAAGTAAGAAGAGAGGAGGAGGAGGAGGAGGAGGGGGAGGAAAATGCCTGTCTTCGTGAGGAAGGTGAGTTTGGGAGAAGTTTTTGGAGCTGCGTATGATAATGTCAGAGAGGTTGGTTTGAGGGCGCCTGTCCTCTGTGAGCGGTTGCAGACATCTCTGTGATAACGCCTGCTCCTTTAATCAAGTGTCCGTGACCGGTTCTCAAAGGTTCTCACCGAGTTTAATAAGTTTGCATCCGGTGTAGCTTTTTGCGTTAGGTGGGACCCACGGGAGATTATAGCCGTTTCTAAGTAGATAAAGTAGAAAATATGTGTTTCAAGGGGAAATTAACAGACTTCACGGTGTTACGCAGAATTTTTAGGCGGAATGAGGTTTGAACAGCTGAAATAACGTGTCTCTGAAGAGGGGGCGTGGCCACAGCCCCATTGACAGCTCACTCGTCCTGCTCTGGACCTCCATGCTGAGCTGCCGTCAGTTTATTTTTGTCTCCTCGTTTCAAAATGAACACGCTGTGGTCTCCCACCTCTTATTTACGTTATTATTGTTATGGAGACTGTGGAGCACGAGCAGTGTTACTCACTTTCTATAAGTGGGACATGGACTAAGCAGCTCTACTAAACAGTATTTATAGGTCACTGTAACAAATGATTTGGCCTATCTCTGGGATAGGTTCACTTACAAACACTTAGAGCTGTACACTCACCATCCGCTTTATTAGGTACACCGGTTCAACTGCTTGTTCGTGCAAATATGTAATCATCCAGTCACATGGCACCAGCTCAGTGCATTAAGGCATGTAGACAA